CCGCCGCGCCGCCGACAGCGCCATGGGCGCCGCCATCTTGGAGCGCGCGGCGCGGGGGCTGATGGGAGGCACGTGGAGGGAAGGGGCGGGGCAGAGGGAGGACGCAGCCGCCCGGCCACGCCCCTTTCTGAGCGCTCTGGCCACGCCCCCTCCCCGGCTCCTGCCCCGGGCGCAGCGCCCAGCGGCCCCAGTCCCATCCCAGCGCCCCCAAGCCCTCCCCAGGTCCCCCTAAAGCCCTTTCCCACTGTCCTCAGGTCCCTTTAAGTCCCATCCCAGTGTCCCCAAGCCCCCTCAGGCCCTTTCCCTGTGCCCCCAGCTCCCCCAAGCCCCCTCAGGTCCCTTCCCAGTGCCCCCAGATCCCCCAGGCCCACCTCAGGTCCCCTCCCAGTGCCCCCAGGTTCTCCAGGCCCACCTCAGGTCCCTTCCCAGTGCCCCCCAGCTCCCCCAACACCACTCCACAGCGTCTCCCTCACGGCACAGCCTTTAATGGGTGCAGCCAAAGCAAACAGCATCTCTCCTCGGCCCCGGAGAGGCCACCGGCATGGTTGTCGCCCCCTCTGTGTCCCTCCCCTCGCCTCCTGCGACCTCACTTCTTCTTCTTCTGGACGTGGGCGCAGTCGTACTTGCCCCGCACGATGGTGAGCTTGACCCCCGGCAGGTCCTGGGTGCGCCCCCCCTGCACCAGCACGACGTGGTGCTCCTGGAGGCTGTGGCCCTCCCCGGGGATGAAGCAGATCACCTCCTTGCCGTTGCTCAGCCGCACCCGGGCGCACTTGCGGTTGGCCGAGTTGGGCTTCTTGGGCTTGCGGATGAGGTTCTTGACCACCACCCCTTTGATCTGGGGGCGGCCGAAGGTGGCCCCCAGCTTGGGGGGGGGCGGCTTGGGCCGGCCCTGCCGGTGCATCTGGTTGAGGGTGGCCATGCCGGCGGCCGGCAGAGGGCAGAGAGGGGGTGCGGCGGGCGGGAGCACCCCGCTACCTGCGTGGGGAGGACGGGGAGAATGGTGAGAGGCGGCGGGGAGGCGGAGAGGGACCGGGGAACCGGTGGTGTTGGTGGGGGGGGTGGCCGGGTACGCACCGCAGCGGCCCAGCGAGGCCGCGGCCCTGAGGAGAGCGCGGAGCGGCATCCGACGGGTCGGCAGCACCGCGACGGGCGGGGCCTGAGGGGGAGGAAACAGCCGGTTAGAGCCTCCCCGCCCCACCGGGAGCCCCCCCTGTCCCGCACCGGAGGGTGCCCGCGCCGGTCTCACCTCACAGCGCCGCCATCTTAGCGCGCCACCACCCCCTTCCTGCCGCCCTTTCCGCCCGCGCCGCGCTCCCATTGGGCACCAGGGACGCCAATCTCCGGCTTTCCGCTCTCTGATTGGCCAAGCTTCTCTTTTAGCTCCTATGGGAGCGCGGCGGGGTCAAAGGGCGTGGCGGAGCCACGCCTTCCTCCGCAGGCCCCGCCTTCCTCATGCGAAGCCACGCCCCCAGCCCTGTCCTCCCGCCCAAAGGGGCGGAGCCTGTTGCTGGGGCAACGCGGGCAGGGCGAGTGCCCGGATGCGGCTCGATCGCAACATGGCGGCGGCCGAGTGAGGGGGGGTGGCGAGCGGCGGCCACTGGGCTCTTCATGAGGGGTGAGCTGGCGGGCGAGGGGGTGAGAGGCTTCTGGAGGGGTCTGAGGGGAAG